GTGGCCTGTGTGCTGAGGGCGGAGGGAGCTCCCTTGGGGGGGTGGCGGGTGCATTGGTGAATCCGAATTGTCCAGATAGCCAGCCATCCTGGTCTCATCCCTCAGTGTGACGCCCACTTGCAGGGGCGTTGTTAAGGTGGCTTTGGTACGAGAATAAAATACCTGCTTGAAAGTAAACCCTTGCAGGCAAGCCATCCATCTAAATGTTCTGTTTCCGCAATGCCGAATTCCAGCGTTTGTGTCTTGGCACATGCACGGGTGAGAGAGAGAGAGACAGGGGGGCCCACTGCAATTTTCTCATCCTGTTTCCAGCTGTAACCCTGGAGCCTTGAGGCAGAAACACCGTCAGTCCGACCATCTCATGTTACAAATCAACCAAGCTGTGGGCTGAATCATTCCCCCGAAAGATACAATGAAATCCAAACCTGCTACACCACACCGTGCCCTTAATAAGGTCCCTGCACGTGAATGAAGGGGAGTTACTGAAGTGGGCTGTAGTCCAGGGGGACTGGTGCCCCCCGTGTAAGGGGGGGCAATGCCCTGTGAGGACTGAGCTCCTAGGAAGGCAAAGTTGAGACGGAGACACTCAGGCAGCAGGTGGACACAGACCTGGGAGCGTAGGAGCTGCTGGCCCAGCGATGCCAAGGACTACCCCAGCCACCTGAGTCCTGAGGAGGAGTAGGATTCCCTGCTCCCGGGGCCTTCGAAGGGAGCAGGGAGCATGGCTGGCCAGCCCTTTCACAGATGCCTTCTGCTCTCCGGTATCTTAGGAGACTGAATTCCTAGAGTCACAAACCATCAGCTGGCTGACCTTTCTCACCCTGGCCCCAGCAAAGTCCCTGGAGGGAGAGAGAGCCCTCTGAGGGAAGAAGCAGGGGAAGGGCAGCCCAGTGCCTGCACCCCTCTTTGCTGCTTCTCCAAGGCGACTGGGCAGAGTTGGACCATTGTCCTTCCAGAGTCAGGCCCGAGAGAGAACACAGCACCCTCGCGTTCCAGAGCAGGGGTGGGTGCCCCTGCTTAATGACAGCGCTCGGAAGCAGAGTAGCGGGCTCCACCCCCCTCCACCATCAAATGAGTGGGCCGGCCCCGCCTCCCCGCCCTTCCCCACTCCACTCACCCAGCATTCAAGAGCCACCATCCTGGTAATTAACGCTCTTGACTCAATGCCGCTCCTTTGCAGCCATGATTAGCGAGGGCAGGGCCTGTATTTTGTGAATAATCGTCATTGAGGCCTGGGGGAAATGCCGCAGGCAGGCGTGGAGATTCACAGTGCAAAAACCACATCGTTTTCGACAGAATCGAGACTGACCTCCCCTCCCAGCTCCACGCGGGCCAAAGTCTGGGTGCCTGGCGGTACTGACATTCGAAAATCTAGACGGTGCTAAGACTAAGCGTTGGGGCGGGTGCAGTTTTGAGACCGTTCCTGCTTCATCTTCTAAGTTACAGGTTGTAGACGGTGACTCTCCCCACCCAGACCCCGTCAGGAGGCACGCTGGGCCCTTCCGCAGCTCTCATCTCTGGATGCCGCGTGTACCAACCAAGGGGAGCCTTCCTGGACCCACCGCACTTACTCGTCCTCAGGGTCTCCCTCCCTGACTCGTCCGTGGCTCTGGGGTACCCTTGTCTTCCTCGCTCCCGTCTTGCTTGGCAACCTTGCTCATGTGTTTGGCATCAGATGTGTGTGTGTGTGTTCCCCCGCTCCCCCCCATCCCAAACCATTCTCTGATACACCAGTTTGGTGTCCCAGAATTCGGTTCCGTTCTGACAGGCACTGGGGTTCGAATGGACTTCACAGGTTAACGACTCAGCTCCCCAGGGCTCCCCCAGTTCTGTGTCACACAATCCTGGCCAGCTGCAACTCCCCGGGTTACCCAGGAACTTTCTTCAAGGTGGCTACCAGGCTCAGGTTCCCGTGAGAGCCTTCACGGGCTCCAGAATTTGCCAGAACAGCTCACAGAACTGAGGGGAACAGTTACTTACACGTAGCAGTTTATCACCTTACAAAGGGTGTGAGGGCGGGTACAGGTGAGCAGCCAGGTGAAGAGGAACATGAGGCGGGCTCCGGAAGGGACCTGACTCAGGAGCTCTGTCCCCGTGAACTTGGGGTGCATCCCCTCTTGGCACGTGGACGCGCTCAGACACCCAGACGCTTCCTGAGCTCTGTACACGGGGGGGTTTTCGGGAAGCTTGGTCAGGTGGGCATGATGCTGCACTAACCCCACCTCCAGCCCCTCTCACCTGCCCTCCCGCAGGGTGGGTGTGGGCACCAAAGTCCCGAGTTTCTGACCACGGCTTCCTGGAGGCCAGCCCCCCATCCTGAAGCTATCCAGCAGCCCACCAAGAGCCTTCTCCTTAGAACAAAATACACTCCTGGCTCCCAGGAAACGCCAAGGGGCTCTCTGACCAGAACCAGGGTCAAAGCCAAAACACTGATTCCTAGTTCTCACTCATGAAACAGTAAGGGTTGCAGAAGCCCTATACCAGGAACTGGGGCGTAGGAGCCAGATACCAATATGTATATTGTCTTGTTACTTGACCCATGTCCACAGGCTACCGCGGTTCAATCCACTTGCTGCCTCCTCTGCCTTTGACGAGCAACTTATACATTCATCTTCGGTCCTTCTCAGCTTCCGCCTGAGGGTCCAGGTCCCCCCCGCCCCCCATCTCCTAGCAACGTGAATTTGAGTCGCTCATTTCCACAGTCCACTTTTATCATCTGTAAGAGAGTTAGCGCGAGGGGACCTGCCTTGTCACGGTGTTTGCAGAATGGATACGTTCATGAAGCACGTAAGGGGCTTCCAAGTGGAGACTGTTCGTGGGCGTGAAAGGAGGGCTCTTGGTGTTCATCTTTGACTTAATGGTCCTTTTTTCTTAGTCGCAGTGTTTAGGGAAGGATGGCTTCGTATTATGCTTAGGCACCATGAGTCCTGCCTGCTTCTGCATGCTCTCTGGCCAACCGTTGCCTGCTTACAGCATTGCTGGTATACCAGTTGTCTCTGCTTCTGTGGCTCTGAGCACTTAGAGAGAAGGCTATTTCCATGAGCCACCTTGCCCGCCTGGAGCTCGCTTCCCCCTTGCCACATCGAGCTGACCGGACGTTCGATTGTTTTCATAGGAGCCCCCCATTTACTTCCTTCTCAGGGCGCACCCAGACTTGTCTGCTTACGTGTTGCTAGCATTTCCCGGTCCTCCCTTCCGAGGTGAGTGTCATGAGTCTGTCCTGGTTCTCACTGGGTAATGGTCGAAGAAGGGAGTCCTTGGAAGATGCTCTCTCGATAGTCACAGAATGAATGAGAAATTGAATACTGTGTGTCTAGGACAAGGGTTCACAAGGCGCTGACCACGGTGTTTGCGGAGGGCTATGCCACCCGGGGAGACAGGGCAGCACCCCTTTTTGTTCCTTGAACCGGTTGGTCATAGGGGGAACACTCCCTTGTACCCGAGCGAGGGAAGACTTTCCCTGGTTGCTTGCTTTGGTGTTTATCGACGGGCGGGATTTACTGAGAATGTATGGAGCATTCAATATTCTTACGTGATTTAGTATTTAAACATTGCTTAGCTTTCAGAAGCTTCTTCGCTGGTATTGGTACCCCTAAAGTTTTCACAGTTTTGGGGGGAGGCTTTGAAGACAGTGTCATAGAAAGTCTCTGTCAACTTTTCTCCATGCTGGTCCATCCCAGGCAAATGGGACTGATCGATTTGGGGAATGTGGAGGATTTGGGAGCTTAATTGTTTCCAGTCTTATCTGAAAGCTGTACACCTACTGTGTGTGCTGTTATTCCCACTGTTTGGAGGGGGGTGGATGATTCTGTGCATTGAGTTTGCTTCTAAAGATTTGGGTCAAAATTACCCACATGGGCAAGAAACCAATTTCTTTTGAATTACGAGAATTGTGGGGTGATTCCGGAAGAGTGGCGTTGAAAATTCATTATATGTATTTTTACTTTAGTCTTGTTAAATTCCAAATTGAAATTCATCTTTGTGTTATTTTTTTGACCTTCATAATGCTGAAAATGAAACCATGTCAAGACTGCGTTAAGAATTGGAAGCATATCCAACACAGAAACAGATGTTTTATTAAATATGCATCTTTTTGAAAATGGAGAGTCTGGGAGATTGTTCTGTTTGGAAGACGGGGGTGGGTAAAGCGTGGGTTTTATGAATTAGGGTGAAAATTAAGGTCGTTTCTGCTCATTCCCACGTTTACCCACACAATTTGAAATGTCCCGATAACCCCACCACAAGGTAGAGATGAGTTCTTTTCTCCGTTGAGCGTGGCTTGCTTTGAACGTACTCAACAACATCTCCCCAAGTGAAACTTGTTTCTCCTTTTTTCTTTTTCCTTAGAAATTTAGCAGGTCACTGTGACTCAGGAGAAAACTCAATCCATGATGCGTGACCCTAGAGCTGGCTTTCGGATTTAAAAACACCCCTGAAATATCTTCAGGCTTAAAAAACTAGGTTCCCACTGTCCCATAGTTTGTGTGTGTTTGCGCACATCCACCCGTGGGTGTTGGTCACCGCTGATTCCGAGCCGTGGGTCCCCTTCGTCCTGACACCCTGGGGCGTTCGTTCCTGTTCCCTTGGCATGTTTTCATCGCCTGCCTTCTGAACACCGTGACCCTTCTCTCCTCCTTCGAGATTCTCCTCCAGGCTGTCTCCTGAGACAGGCTGAGAGCTGTCACTTTTCTGAGCTTGACGCTGATACTGCTTTATCAGCGAAGACCTAAGTGACACCCTTCTACCTCAAGCCCCCAAGCCTTTGAGGGAGGGGTTGGGCCACCATGTATCTGGAGATCCTTCTCTCTCCTGTCCCATTCGGGGTCTGTGCTGTGTGAACCCTCCTTAAAGGAAATCTTACAGGGTTTCCAGGCAGCATTTGTTGGGGACGATGTCGGTATGAAGAAGAACAGGTTACGGTGGTACCATGTTGAAAAGTCAAGAGCTCATCGACGCTGTGTTTTACAAAAACATTTATACCCTGACCTCTTGTGTTCCAGGTGCCTTTTGGACTTCCTCCCCAGGACAAGTTGGAATGGCTGTGAAGGTCCCCATGCACCCCCAAATCTCCCGGGGTGGGGATGAAATTATATGGCGAGGCTGGCTTGAGACATTATCATAGTGTGGAATACAGTGCCCTTAGGTGCCACATCTGATTCCTTCAAAGGTTCGTTCACTTTGACTGATCTATTGTCTGTGTGCCAAGAGGCCATTGAATAATATGAGGTTCTTCTTGTAACATTTGTTAACAGGTTAGTAGTCAGCAACATAGGTTTGCCTTGACTATCTAACACCAAACCATCATAGATGATAAATAACTATATATTACATCAGGTGTGTTGTAGCTTTATCAAGGAATCACTTCCTGGGGTGTAGAAATGTCTAACCGCTATACTCTACACTTGGAACTGATAGAATAGTACATGTTACTGTAAAGGAAAATTTAAAAAAAAAGGAGCTTTTATGGATGAATCAATAAGAGTAGTGCAAGTCTTCACGAACGATATGTGCATTGTATAGTTATGTGGGGAAACAGATTGTAAAATAGAATTCTGCATTCATTTCAGCCTAATCAGTTCTTTGTAGTCGTAGTTACCTGTGTTGGCGTAAGACGCCACGCGGTCTGAATGAAATGGTAAAAGTAAGAAGTGTTGTTAACCCAGAGAACATGTTGTTCACCCTTGGTAACATCTCGTTCACCCCATGACAGTAGGTTGTCACTTCACTTTCAATGCATGAACCGGCGCTTCCCAGCTCACGGCCCACAGTGCGTCATGTTGCAGACAACACGTCCCAAAGGCGGTTTTGGTCTGAGTGCAGGCGTGTTGTTCTGCACCTCCCACATGTACAGGGTTAGCACCGACACACAGGTGTCACGAGAGGCATCTGCCTGATTCCAGCTCTCCCAGGTCTGGGGGCTTCAGGTACAAAGAACTGCCTGGAAACATGTTACTTTGCCAGTGACATGTCACTTGTACGTAGAAAGAGCCGTGTTGCCCACGGGTCATCCTGTAAAGAGAGGAATTAAAGTTGACAAGAAGACTGTGACTCGTCCTACAATAATGACTGACCAAACAGAGACACAAGTTGACAGCGTAGCCCTGAGGATGGGGCAGTGTTACCTTTCATTTATTCTGACACAGGGCCGCAGGAGGGAAAAAAAATTCTTCAGGCTCAGGATTAGCTCTTGCAAATTACTCTGTAAAACGTGGGCTGGTTCTTTGTCCAGAGTAACTTTCCAAAGACCTTCAATGCGTAACGTACAGCAGCTAGATGTAACCTAGACATGTGTCATCTTCAACCACAGTTAACAGTGCCCAGGAGACATGCCTTGGTGTGTGCAGGCTCTCGCTGTTGCCCTTCTCAAGTGGCTTGTGGGCCGAACCCTTTGGTTATAGAATCCACATTTCCCGTGTGTCTTCTCCCAAGCCGTTGCTCGTATGATTAAGGGACTGGCTAAGAATTGCATGACGCCGTCACCACCCGCTACTGCCTGTAGCTCCCCAGCAGAAAGCTTGTGAGGAACGTCACCTTGGTTGGGAAGCTGTCCCACTGTTTCTCCGACTGAGCAGAGCCCTGACGTCTCGCTGTCTTTCATTTCCGTAGGGGAAGATGTTCTGAGATGGGGAAGAAACCCAGCGGGCTCCCGTGGAGACACTCTTGAAGACATCTTCTTAGGAGGATGGTAAGTGCCAAGAGTGCTTCTTGACCTCTGCAGACTTGTTTGATGGTTGAACGTACGTCAGCGAAACCTAGCAGTGTGTTCGCATGACTCTGGCGGTGCAAATGGTTTTCTTTAAAAAAATCTATTTGGAATGAACAAAAGGACCAAGCCGTGTTTTCCAGTGTAGCTGGAATGTGTGTGATGGCATGCGTTGGAAATTCAGGGTTCTCTGAGAATTGTTGGTTCTTCCAGGTACCCGCAAGGCAGGGTAAATCTCCTAATGAGGGTCAGCTGTCTGTAACACCCTCTGCAATTCACCCTTGTCCCTGTAGGTCCCTGGAAGCCCCCTCTATTGCATAGTAACGGTCTCAAGCCATCTGGGCGTATTCAGCAGCCTCTCCTTGGACCCTTTTGGTTCCTGCAGCACTGGTACCACCAGGGTGGACACATGCTTCTAGTCCAGGCTGGGGGACCACTGAGGACACAAGGCCCTACCAGAAGCCGGGCGTAGCCTAGGGGAGGAGAAATGGGCAGTAAGAATACTTTTACCACCTGCGTTTGCGACCACACGAGAACAAAGACACGTTGCAATTCCAAACCTGGACCTGTTCCTCCTTGGCTTAAATGTCTTAAAGGGGGTGTTTTGGGATATTTCCAGCTAACGGTTGTGTCTCCTCATGGTTCAGCAGTCCGTGTAAGCCCTGCTGAGGCGGTCTTTATAGTCACATATTGGTTAAATGCTGGTTATTGAGTGGTTTTCTTACCAATGTCAGAGGCAGGGCTTCCAGGCATTTGCCGAAACTGGTAGCACAGGTGGCTTTGGGCATTTCGTTCCGGTGGAAAGAAATCACACCCGTGTATATTCCTTTCCTTGATAACAAGCTTCCGTGGCTTTCCTGCACTCCAGAACATTATCAAGGTCACGCCCTGGATGGAAGTCCTTTTCAACGAACTTGATTTCCAAATTCCTCTCTCTGGTTCCCTCTGTGAAGAAAATACGATTTCTTTTCCAGAGATCATTGGCGATTCATAAAGTCCAACGCTGTCCCCTTTTTTGTCACGAACATGCAAAAATCGAAAGATGGTGGTTGAGAAAAATGATCTGTTTGCTCTTTTGATTGCCTAGCGATGTATGGGTTTTTATCAAAGGCAGTTAGTGGACACGCCTGTTACCCGCCCCTCCTGTTAAACAGTTGTGTTCTGCAAGGCGTGTCTTCTGCTTTGTGAGACGTTTTCCCAGTGGATACACTGTATTCCTTCTTCTTTCAGTTTTATTTTGCAGTAGTTTCAGGTACACAGCCTAGTGGTTAGACAGTTACATCCTCTCCATGGTGTTCCTCTCAGTATTTCCAGTACTGCCCTGGACCCATACATAGTTACCACAATATTATTGACTGTAGGTGACCTGTGAAGTTTTTAATTTTTCTCTGTCCAGAGGAACATGTGTATATAGCTGGGTGGCATGATGTCTCAGAGGCTCCTATCTTCCCTCTGGCCCACTGGCCTTTGGCACAGCCACCCCATGCAGCTTGGCGGGTGGTGGCGATTTCGGTCACTGCAGGGCGAGGACGTGACCTTCCTCGGGCTGGCGTGGCACTGTGTGTGGTGGAGAGCCCCCGTGACGAGACTCCACAGGGAACGTGGTACAAAGTGACTAATTGGGGAAGGGACGTGAGACCCTCCGACTTTTGAAAGGAGCTGTGTTATCTTTGGCCTCTGCACCTTAGGGGCCCTCTGCGTTTGAGACCACGGTGGGTTGGCCTCAGCATGTTCATGCAAGGGTCTGTCTCCCTGCCTCTCACGGGGGGGCAGGCTTTGGGGTGACATTGGGGTGGCCCTCAAGGGATGGCCCTGCCATGCAATGTCCCTTGTCATCTCCCCAGGATGGCTTGTCTAGATGAAAAGCTCATAACCCAAGTGTCTTCCCCTGTGGCCTCAAGACTTTAAGAACTAAAAGAACTTGGACTCGTTAATTGGCACCATTGTCATTTCCCTTAAATTTTTTTTCTGTATTGATCTGAGACAGAGGGAGACAGACAGACAGACATCACTGTGTTGTTCTCCTTCTTGACACAATCACTGGCTGCTGCTTGTCTGTGTTCTGACCGGGCATCGCACCTGTGACCTTGGTGCCTGGTGATGACGCTGTTACCTCCTGAGCCTCCCCGGCAGGGACAGCTGTTGCTGTTATTGAGAGGTGCAGGGTATACGGGGAAAACACATGGATCTGTGAATGGGGGCACATTTGTTTTCATCTACATCTGCTGCGAGGTAGCTGGTTTCTTTGCTTAAGAAATGTTGGGGTGGGGAGAAAGTGCAGACAACTGTCCTTGAACGTCATAAGGAATATTTTATTGTTATTCTGTTACGGTTGTCCCAATTTTCCCTGCGTGCCCTCCTCCCCCCAGCCCACCTCCCTCCTCTCCCCCCTGCCCATGGTAACTGCTTTTGAATGCCCAGGCTTCTGGTGTGTTCGGAAAATAGAGGCATCCAACTCTTTTCTGAGGGGCGAGTCTGATGATAAATGAAGAAAAGCAGGGGCCGAGGAAATACCAATAATTCATTACGTGTGGTTACTCTCAAATGCCCGTTTAGTCGGATTTTCCGTCCAAGGTGGACTGAACCCCACCTGGCTTTGTTGCTCTTGTTGAGACAAGCTGTTCCCCGTTCAGTGCCCTAGTTGTCTGGGTTGGTCTTGGTGCACTGACATTGGAAATGAATTCGGTGCATTCCAGGGACGACTCAGTTCCCTTCAAAGCTGATGACCAACCAGTGTGGTGATGACCAGAGAGGAGGGGGTCGGAGAGGCAGGAGAGGGTAAAGGGGGGGGCCCATGGTGGTGGAAGGAGACCCGGTGAACACAGTACCACATACAGACGATGGCTTCCATTTATGTATGTCTTGACGCCTACATAAATTTTTTCAACAGTGCCACCCACAGAAACTCCATTAAAAAAGAAAACACCCTATACCACCTATTTTTTTCCCTCATATAATGCTTCTTTTCTGCCAAAAGGATATATTTCAGAGTAGAACAAGGGGTTCGTGTAGGTAGATAAATCACCTTACACTATTTATAAGTTGCGTGCGTCAGCTAATTTTGTTGGCTGTTTGGATGGTGTAAAAACTCACTTGTGGGTAAGTCACACGATACGGGTTCAGGTGAGCCAGCTATGGCTTGCCGGTGAGTCCCTTGCTCTCATAAATAAAGTTTGATTGAAACAGCCCGAGGCTCGCATTTTTCCGTACGTGGTTTGTTCACACTTCACGGACAGACCTAAATGTTGGTACCAGACACCGTGTGGCTGGTACGGCCTAAAATACAGGTTGTTTGACCCTTTGCGATGAGTTTCTCGATCCCTGCGTCAGAGCGCGACTCCGTTCTTTGAGAGCCGGGGAGGCAGTTCATAGTAAACAGCTCGGATCTGGAAATTCGCAATGCATATTAATACATAGCAAATGATTATTCATAACGGAGAGGCATGCTTTCCCACCAGGAATTCTATTAATGTGTTCGGTACAATCTGTGAACCACAGAGCAGGTGTCTCTGAGCTGAAATCTTGCATGCACGCAGGAATGGGGCCCGGGAGAACCCCCGAATTTCACACGTGGAATGTGTGTGCACCAGGGAGACACTGGGGACCACCCCCGTACAACAAAGGAGGGGTGGCTGACACGGATGCCTGTGGGTTGTCACCAGCTGTCCCGGTGACAGATCATAATTGCTCCCTGATTGTTGGGGACGAGCTTCGTCATTAACCAGACTGACCCACAGTGACCAAGGGGCACCCTCTTGACAGGCTCTCTCACACCCAGTGATGTGTTTCATGGCCCAGAAGACAAGAACGCTTAATTTGGCACAAGTAATCGTTGCCACTTTTAGCCTGCTCACCGAATCTTTAAAATTTTTTCTCTTTTTTTTTGCATTTTTAAAATTGTTGTTCCAGTACAGTCATCTGCATTTTCTTGCCGCCCCTCCCACCCTCCATCCTTCCCCCTTCAGTGAAGTTTTTTGTTTTTTTTGCATTGAAGACCCAAGAGCTTGAGCATTGCGTGTGTGCGCGTGTGAGAATTTCAGAGCCAGGTGATTGTGATCACGCTCTCCGAAAGTGGGTAACTAATTCCCGTAGGGGATGGAATTGTTCCGTCATTCTCTGCCGATCATTGGATGTCAGTTCCCTGTGCTGTGGACCTGCAGTAAATATTAGCAAACTGTATTTCGGTTTCGGCTGAGGACGTCCTGTCTAAAAAGGTTCCTTAGATATGCTCTACTTCCTTCCCTTTGCACAGGGACTTTGCACACATTTCGCATTGTGTTCCTAAGCGTTAATTTACTGAAGCATCACATGAAATGCGGGGGTTGTCACAGAGCTTCACTGGGGCAGGCTGTACCCTAAGCCACATGCAAACTGTACCCAGACTCGTACCAGGCTCATCAGAACTTTCACAACAACCTTCGTAGGCAGTTGGTGACTTCCACGGAAAGAGTGTCACTGTCCCCAGGACCTGTCACTGTGCAGGGCAGGTGGGAGAGACGGAGGCAGCGGTGGCCAGAGGCAGGTTCATGTGAGCAGCTCCCTTGTTTGACAAGAGATGGAACAGGTATTTGTGGAAAACTGGTAGCCAGAAGGACTAGTCGTGGCTGAACTGCCCAAGTGGCCAAGTGACATTAGATGAGTCCACTTAACCTCCTGCAATCCCTTCAGTTGAGAAGTGAAGGCAACAACGAGCCTTGAATCTTACCAACGTGAGTGAAGACAATAAATGTTGTTCCTTATGACATTTTTCTATGGATAATAGCAACTTAGAAGCAATGGAATGTCAGTTCTGGAGATGTGTTTTCCCAGTATTTGTTCTGGTCTCCTGTGAATGCACAGAAGAATGTGAACTATTCAACGTGGACTTAACCTGTAATGAAGTCTTCTAGATGGACCGCCATGGTACCTGCTGCATTTTCTTCTTCCATTACCTAGAAAATTTAAACCTTCCTGGGGAAATGCCTCGTCTTTCCCTTTTCCTT